CCTAGAATGATGTTGATCTGCCCTGAGGGAAATTCAACACTTCCTCCAGAATTTTCACTTCAAATCATGCTGCCTTTATTGTATAGGTTTGCTTTTGATGTGAGAAAACATGAGGGCATTTTGAGTATCATACTATCAATCAGAGGTAGGCAAAGAAAAACAATGGTGGAATTAGTTCAGTGGAAATGTATTTTGTATTGAGTTTATTATATGAGCTGTCCATCTTATTCAGTGCTTTTTTTAACCTGACTTTTATTTGTTCATGCTGGCAATGCCCCAGTTTCTTATTTGATATTATGCGTATGTGACTTAAACCAAGATTGGATAGTCTAGGGTTAAGGACATATATTCTACACATTCAAACATACACTGAAATCCAGGTTCCACTTCAGGTTGTAAGCCCCAATGATTAAAGCTGAAAAAAAACTTTGCTTCAGTCATAATGTGAAAGAAATGAGTTTTGCATCTGCAATTTTTCACCATGCACATTAACTTCCAATTCTGGATAATCACACTTATTTCTAAGTGTAAGTGAATGGGACTGTTGCAGCCGCTTCATCCAGTCATGTAGATAACTATTGCTTTTTGTCCACAGTATTTGGAATAATAGTAGTTACTGCATGTTCAGTTTCTTTGTAAATTTAATAAATGTTTGGAGTTTTAATTTTGGATTTAAATATTTCCAAAAACAAACATGCTGCTTATTATATGAGCAAACCTAAGTATGATGTGAAGGCCCCCCACCTGTCCTTTCGCACATGCTCTTTTATACTGTGTGGGATATGCATGAAACCACACTGACTTCATGCCACAATGATTACTGACGCCTGAGTTCACTTTGAAGCAGAGCTGTCTTGTAGTTGGTATTTTATGTACTATGTAATTTTAATCAAACATACTTATTGTCCCCATGGGGAAATTTTTTTTCTGGGCCAAAGTGCTACAGCAGCCGCAGAACAAATGTCTGGAAATATTTTTTTCTAGAGCTGGTCAACATCCTCCCTCTCAACACTGCATTTACAATGTCACAAAAAAGTGTTGATCAGTGAAGGTTTCGTCTTCATTTTGCACACATGTATTCTTCCCGGCAGTGTCGGTTTTTAGATGGTGACTTCTTTAATGCTAAGGCCACTGCTGCCCCCAGTCTATGCTTTTCTACCACGTTTAACATTTTCATACTCTTTTCCTCTTGCAAGTCAGTCTTTGATGTTTTTGAAGAATGATTGTAAATGTCATGTCATTTAAGTAAGAGTTTGCCCTGAGTGCAATCGGAGCCTAATGATATGAAGGTTAAAATCAAGTAATTTACCTGCTCATAGAAATGTGTAATTCATCCTAATCCACTGGCAGTCATATCAGACGATTACACTTTTTTATCTATTCATATTTCATCCATATTCAAAGAAAAATCCATTTTGCAGTGAGAGGCGTAAATGTTTGACTTTGTGTCGGCCCCTGCTTCCCAGAGAGCTGGGATTAAAGAAGGGCTAACAGAATAAAGGGATTCGGGATGCACGTTGCCTCAGGCAGATCACTTCAGCTCCTAATAAGGATTTCTGCTCTCTTTTTGTGGACCAGACAGAATGAGCTTCCTCGAAGACGCCAGTCCTGGTGACTGCTTCAAATAATCTCCAATAATATCACCCTGGAAGCCACAGCGGAAGATTTAGCATTTAGCCGCCCCCTTCACCCTGCTGCTGTTCTCAGGCTTGTGATTGGCTGGGCTGTGCAGCACACTGCAGCAGCTCTGGTCCTTTGGCTAAAGGGCACGCAGACAAAGAGGCAGAGCCGATTATCTGTGTCTCATCCAGAGGCAGTACGCAGCAGACATCTATTGTACAGCTTCAATGTGATGTTGGGGCCTTTTCACAGGAGCCACAAAAGACTTGAAATTATTGAGATTTCACTGATAATGTTGCCATTGTAACTGATATTAAGATATTGCAGGGAGTGTGAAATATCTGTGCAATCAACCTGAAAAACAAAGCCCCTGTTTTGCAGTTACACTTTACTAAGCTTGATAAGGGGCGTCCGATAAGGGAAAAACAGACTTGAAATACGTTTACTGAGAAACTCCTTTTTTCTCTTTATGTTTCATCATAAAGGTTGACTTCTACTAAACAGACCACATAATGAATGAACTACACAGTCAGTGCTTCTTCTGGGTTAAAAGAGAAGCCCATGTAGAAGAAGCTCAATCGTTTATTCAGCTACTTTAACATGTTTTACACCTAATTAATTATGTGTGTAGGAGCAGTTACAAGCAGGAAATGTAGCATTTAATTCCAATCTTGGTTCATCACACAGCTTTGATGAAACTACATGTTGTTTAATTGGGATTTCAGAAGGGCACTGGTGCTTTTTATCACTCTTGACGCATTTTGGGCCTGCTTGTTCTGTACAAATAAATTTTCTTAATTGTAATGTCTATGTTGTATGGAAACCTCTACCCTCTTGTTTTCATTTCATCTTTATAAAGAATCACAGCGTTTAGTGCTATAGTGGTCAAATAATAGATTTTGATGAAATGTGCGAAGATCAACCGGTGAAAACCTCATGTTTCCAGCTTTCGAAGGCCCTACGGTCTAATCGCAGGCTTAAAAAAGGTTTAACACATTTTTTATTCATTGCAGGTCACTGTCACCAATGTTACAGCTTTAAAAATTTTACTCTTTCATTGTTAAAAATTACACTGACAAAAACAGTGCCTAGAGTGACTGAGATAACACGTTGTTGCGACAGCAACATGGCATAGGGCCATGCTCTCCTTTTGTCGCATAAAACGGAAATTATTTCAGCCGGTTTGATCTTCCCTCATTTACATAATATCAGTGTGGTTCAGCAGCATGGGTGGGCACTCATCACTGATAACTGCATTGTTTATTATTCTAATAATTAAAGGCAATAGCCACCCTGTGAGCACGCTTCATTTGGCATGATTGAATGATTGGCACTTACCAAGTTAACATGGTTTGGGCAAACATGTAGCCACAGTGAAGAGAGTAATGATGTCAGGGCCACGTCGCAGACTCTGCCCATGATAGAGTGACTCATTTCCCATTTGCAAGGCCTGATTCCACATGGCTTCTTTCTTGCATAACGCCTCGGCCCACGTCTGTGCCGCCACGCCACTCTAACTGACACCTCTTAACTAAACACACCAAATGGAATAGACATAAACCCTCACTCCTCATCAGCATTCACCAGGAAACACGAGCATCACCCTGCCCTGCTTTTCATGTAGAACAACAAAGACACCATTTGTACACATCTAAAATGGTTGCCTAAGAACAAATAGGATTTCACATCAGAGCATATCGAGCTCTGGGAGATGTAATGGTGATTTGGTTAAAGACGGATCTGTGCTAGTTATTTGCTGCATGTTATGTAGTCTGTCAAATAATTGCTGAAATCTCATACTAATCTCAATGTCAGTGTCTCTGCAGAAAACGGCAGAAAAAATAACCCAATCTTTTATTTTATTTTGGTGTTAGATTAAGGCTACAAGTATCAAGGTAACAAAGTAAATTAGTTACTGCTGTTACTACTGTATTATAATTGTTTTATTTTAATATCTTATTCTATTACTGTTTAAACACCAATTATGTTTTATTTAGTAGTATTTAGTTATTTCTTTTGTTATTTTATTTACTCTGAGTATTGAGAAACACTTTAAGGTTTGACAGCTACAACATCAAAATGCAGATCACAAAAAATAATAATAATCATTGCTCTTTTTATATTCTTTTAAATGTTTATTGGTGAATTTATGACATTAAAAAAGTGCCAAAGTGGGTGTTGCATATTTTAAACCAGTCAGAAGTGCAAAGAGAAAAATGCAGATACAGAAGTGTCTCTTCCCTGAGTTTGGCCAAAAAGAGTGTGTTCACCTAGAAATTCAATCCTTCAGTGAAAAACTGAAGAAATGTTTAATGTTTCCAGGGGATTTAAGTCTCACTTGCATTTGTATATGTTAGATGTAAATATGAAAGAATGAGACAATGCCGTAGCAACAAGACGAGAAGCTAAATGCCAAACTAGTTAAGCTGAACTGAACAGCTGGTTAGATGACAAAAGCACAGAAGTTGTACAAACGAGCATGAGAAACGAATTTCACAACCCAACAACGGGCATTCTGAGGGACTCACAGACCCATCTGCCTCTGATGAGGGCCCATAGTGAGATGACACTTGTGTAGCACTGGTATGGGGTCCAGTGTGAATTGCCTCCTACGCAGGATGGATAAGAAAGAATGTTCTGTAATATCGCTGGGTCCCACAAGTGCTCACTATGACAGTGTAAGCTAAATGCCCCAAATGCAAAAAAACCGCAGTGTCAGGGTAAGCAGGGCTTTCCCTCCACTCTGCTACCTGGAGCGTACGGCGGCAGGACCACTCCAAATCAGCATTGTGGCGTGTTCTCAGAGGACCTGCCCTGCTTCTACCTCTGAAAATAGCACAATAAGGAGGCCTGCTTGAAATAGTCTTGTATCACTTCCTGCTATACCTCAGCTCTTTATGCCACGAGGCGCAGGAAGTGGAGCTACGGTTTAAAGCACAGCAAAAGGTTCACATGATGGACAGTGCTGACAGCAGTAATGATGTGTAAATTACAAGCGGGTCGACATCGCAATGTTCTCCCTGGTGGGGAAAGAGCAAACTCATTTCATAAACACAATGATCACTAAAATATTCATAACAAACAAGAAAATGGGGTCTGACTCCCTCCTCCTACCAGGCCATTACATTTCCTTTGTGTGTGCTAATTAAGTCAACAAATGACATCTTAGATCATAATGCCACTATACCGCCTATAGGTTCCCTCTTTTACACGTGCTCAGACAAATTAGAGGTTTTGTTCAACAAAGACAGGAATTATATTGGCATGCAGTGATGAAAATTTGGATTGAGGCAGGGAGCGATGATAAATTGCTCTAATAAAATTTAAACATTTTTAAAAACGAGCGAACGAGAGAGATCAGAGAAGGGCAGAAGACTTACAGTTCAGAGAGTTGGAGGTGCTGGAAGAGCTGCCATGACAGAGTGGTGAGAGGATTCTTTGACAAGTTTCTGCAGAGGAAAAAAAAACAAAGAGAAAGTTAAATGCAATGTTACATGTGAATTACCTTAATTCTGTTATTTGATGTCATATCTGAGGTGAAATTCATTTTTCAATTTATTTTTGTTTGAGCCCCACATTGCTGTGTTCTTCTACTCATGCAGAGATGCATTTCAGTTTGTACACTGAGCTAAAATTTAATCAAAACAAAACAAGCAAAATTGCAAAAATTTATATAAAGGCTGGCATTCATAGCTAAAAATAAAGCAAAGTACAATTGACAACAAAAGGGAAACAGGTCCGGCTGTGTGGAGCTTCGGGGCCTGGCCAACTCAATAAAAGAAAGTTGACTGCTTTCAAGTCAAATAATTCAATTGACTTAATGAACCCCTGCAGCTCACAAAGGCAACTAAATTCAACAGCAAATAGCCGGACTTACAGGTGATTTGAACAGGAGCTTTAACCGGTTAAAACATGAGCAACAGGCATCTGTCTATACAGTTATTGAGCAATACATCATCTTTATGTGGACAATACTGCAGCAGTGAGTCTAAAAGTACACTATCAAATCCTATCATCAGTCCAGGCACCATCAATGCACTGCATTACATCATGAGAGAGAAATGAAAGAGCAACATTTTGTCTGATCTGGTGTTTTCTTTGATGTGAACAGTTGCCTAATGACTCACACATTTTCCACATTACTGTCGCTTTGAACGCAACACTGCCGCTCGCAGTGTGTATTTGGTCACACTAATTCAAATGGCTGTACTGTACATACAGTGCGATTACACTGAGAGATTAGATTTTAAGGTACACAGTGGGTCAATGGAGATACCAACATTATGCAGAAAAAAACAAAACAGATATTGCCTCCAGAAACTGGAATATAGCAAATTAGCTAGTTAAAGGTTACAGATAACTGTGTAAAAATAATATATATTTAAATGGTATGGTTAAGTTATAACCTAATTAACCATATAGACAACAATACAATCCGAATGCAATTTTAAGAAATGCAATATAATACAAAAACAAATATTAAATATATGGAGTATAAAGACTTGCTAGTAATGTCCAGTTCTGTACAGTGACTGGGTGAGTTCATGTTGACATGTTCACACACGCACACGCAGACTCTTCATAGGTTCATTTGTATTGTAGACCAAGGTCTATCAGATACTCCTGTAACCAGAAGTGTCGCTATGGCAACAAGGACTAAGGATGCTGCAGGACTTTCTCATTTCCTGTGATATCACTCATGGACACACATTCACATGCACACACATTCAGTTACGTGCGCGGGCACACACACACACGCCTGCACAAACCTACACACACTCAGTTAACAACCAAAGAAGCATGTTTGCATGAAGCGCACACACACTTGTAAATACAGTTTGAAATGTGTGCTCATGCGAATGCAGCTCTCAGAATACAGGGGATGTGTGTGAGAATATGTAAAGAAGCTGCACGGAATTTCACCTCCCCGAGAAAACCTGTGGTCCCAGTGGACCTGTATCATACTCTGATAGAATACATTACAGGGAGGGAGGGGGAGGGAGAAAGAGAGACAGCGAGAGAGAGAATGGGCGAGCAAACAGCAGCTCATTAGTTGATGTAGTGCGTCAAATCACACACCCCAAAATAGACACACATTTAGACCACAGATCTCCAAACAGACACATGTCAAACAACAGAGCCTAAAATAGACAATCTTCAGACCAAAGGTGTAAATACACATCGAGATACAGGAGCCCAAAGAAACACTGCTGATGGTTTTGTTGTTGGTCTTATATTTGGTTATAAAATAAGACTTTTCTGGTGAGTTAATTACAAGAAATGAAACTCCTGGAACCACAGAAACATAGAGCCACCTTGAAGACCTTGAAGAATTATGGGGCAGGTTAAGCATACATTTACGTATATGCATAACTAAATTTAGCTGTAGTTCAAGTAAATGGATGGGACCGAAACTTTTTGTGTTTTTATAAAATGGGGACAAAGGGTGGCAACCCACTGTGCCACTGCCATTTTGAAGTATGCCCCAGAGTCTGTCCCATCGGAACTGCTGGCTGTCAATCATCCCTGACAAATAGTGACATCATAGAGACGCGACTGCAAACATCTGTTCTTTGAGCCCTTATTAATTTTGACATTATTTGCAGATAGAACAAGAACACTGATAAGCAGAGGTAAACTCAGCTAATGACACTGTAATGACTCATGACCATAAAACATAAATGACTTATTATTTAATGAAATAAGTTCATGGTTTTTTGAATGTCAGTCTATTGAGCCTGACAACTTTTTTAGAGCAATCCCCAGCCGTCTTTTTGTGGTATTGCACTTTCAAACAGAGGAGAGGAGAGGAAAGGAGATGAGAGGTAGTGAGACCTCCTTCATATCTCTGGCAGGAAGTGTTCTGTTTTCAAAGGTCATCCTTCGCATCTCGACAAGAAATGTCAGACGAAATTGGATTGGGGGGTAAATGAATTAATAAATATATAAACAAATCAACAAGTAAGCCATCAGAGCTGAGGGAATGCCAAAAGACAGGAGGTGAAGAAGGCCAAGTGCAGTGAAGAGGGGGGCCAATGATTATTAAATTAAAAAATTAGCGGCGTAGAAAATTAATCTATTTATAAGCTAGGCAGCTCAGTATCTAGGACTGGAAGGACACACACACACACACACACACACACACACACACACACACACACACTGTATATTGACATGGACCACTATAATTTGACTTAAGTGTGAAACTAACACAGCATCGGCATCCACACTTTTTTTCACTGAGCCACAAATAATTTCTGCTCCTCAGACTCATTTGAATAAGGAATTCTAATTATGTGATTCACATGAAATTTTCATCAGGCTGGGGTAAAAGCTATGTGTTACAGTGACGGATGTATCTAGGTGTTAATATTGATGCCAGCGTTGGCTCCCCAGCCAGAGGGCGACGAAGTGAATGCTAAACAGAACCTGTGTATTTGCTCCTCTGCAGAAAAGGTGCGACTCCTCCTCCCTCCTTCTTTAATAATTCTGTTTGGCACAGATGCCACTGGGAGGGCTTGGCTACTCGAGAGGGTTGGCTAATTAGTGCAGCATCACTGGTAGCTACGCTGTCTGAGTGTGGGGAAGCGTCTGCAGAGTGACATCAGGACCACGCAGAGCAGATCCAGACAGCCACCGAGCGAGATGTCGCTACAGATCAGCAGCAGGGACCTCGTGAAATCCAGTCGTCATCTGTCACTGCATGGAAAAGCTGCTAATACCCAAAACTAACTGCTGCTGTTTTCATACTGAAAAACAGACTTCCTTTTCCTTTAAATGCCCCAGAGCCCTTTGTGGTATAAGTTATATAGATGACTTTAAGCTACAAAAACAAAGCTGGCAAAATACAATGTCTAAGTTAAAATATCAGAGGTGTCAATTTTAGAAGAATGCTGTTTTTCTTTAGTCCTGAAAAGCTGACATTTTACAGTAGAGAGGTTTTCTTCTTGTACAGCAACCATTTGCACTCCGTGAAATACTGTTGGTTTATTTGGTATAAACGTAAAAGTAATTGGATGGAGGCCATCAACATGAAAGTAGAAGTGCAATTGCTTGTGTCTACAAATGAGAGATCATTGCTTTGGATTACTTATGGGTAATTACAGTACAACATAAAAATACTTAAAATCCCAACCTGTTAAATGAAAATACACTTTCATTCTGCTTCTATCACTGACTGATGCAACACAACAGTGATTCAGCAGACAGTCTCATTCAGGCTTTTATTCATTTAAACACCAAACACCCAGGATAATATCCTCTTGGAAACCGTGAACATGAATGTCAGCATTACATTTCAAAGACGAAATGTTTTGCCTGGTATTATTCTGCAGTTCCTGTAATTACTGTGTTGAAAATGTGTGGAACATCAATACCATAACCACTTATCCCATAATAAGTAGTCCGCTTCATTTGCAGAGGTTGATCTTACTATAAAAACATGATTGTCCCTAAGCTGCGAGGTGACAAATAGAAAGTTAAGGTCATTGGTGAATGAGTCTATGACACTCCAGCTGTCTGCATGTCTCTGCCTGCACAAAACTTATTTCATGCTTTTCATGCCACCCTGTGTTACTATGCGTCTCATGGTCCACCGGTCCATCCACTCTGTGCAGCTGGAGCTGTATGCATCCTGCCTGAATGCACACAGTGATAGAGTACTGAATGTATGTAGAGATGCATATTCAGCCACAGCAGCAATGTCACAAGCTGAGAATGCATATTTCACATAGCACAGGCCTCTTGAGCCCGAGTTGGACAGGATTTGTGCTGCTGGTCACTGATTTTATTCACATCCAGAGTGTATGTGATCTAAATCAATCAATTATAGCTACACTTATCAGTATCATAAAATTATCAGTTAAGTAATTTGCTCATCAACTTGCCACCATTGAAAGTATGTTCAATAAGCTTTTGGCAGTTCCAGTTTGCAACTTACCCATTGATGTACAGATTCAAGATATAAAGTTATAAAGATTTACAAATATAATAATAAAATAAGCAACTATATAATAAACATAAATATAATATATAATGAGGTATATATATACATATATATATAAACTCAAAAATAATAATAGTAGAAGTTTAAATACATTTCCTTAATAAAATATAGGTTCACATAAATGGAGGTAATGCTATGACATTTAAGTGACTGATAAAGATAAGTATGATAAATAATAATGGATGTGAATATTGCACAGTGTATTTAAGTGCTATGATAAACATGATTGTTATTGCACTGTTTAAGGTGACATGATGAATTCAGAAAAGTATGACTGGATCAATTTTACACCCAAAAAACGTCAAGGACACATAATATGCTTTTTAAATGTTCCCTTTCCTGTACAGTGTAGGGAAAGTGAAGTGTTTTCTTAACATTTGAGCCTGTAAACCTTATAATGATACAAATTAAAATGATGAACCTGAATATGAGTATAACATGTCT